GAATAAAGATTTTGCATATTCCCATTTTTTAAGATGAATTGTAATTAATCTATAGCAATGAACCAGCTGCAGAGTCTAAAGAAGTGAGCTAAATTAACATTAGAGGTGGTATTAAAATAATGATGGGGAATTATACAATATGCATTTAAGCTGGTGATATTGTATTAAAACAGAGTGTGAATTTAGTAAAAGAGTAATTAAGTGTGCATTTCTAAGTATAGGTTTAGCTCCTCTCACTCCAGTTTTGTATGAATTAGATCTTCTGAATAAGATCCGATCCAGATCTAGGAACAGAGTCTTTATCACAGTCATTAACCAAAATGTGGTCTGAAGAAATTCATCTTCCTAAACTCCTAGAATCAGACTTTTATCAAACAGACCTGTAAAAGATGTACGATGTACGAAAGACACACTTTCACTCAAATGCATGTTTTTTCCACTTCTTTTGCTGCTGCTGTGCCTCCCACTGACATGCTATGCTTACATTGTGGAAACCTTATACAACCTGCTTTGGCAATACTAAACTTAAATGTGTTCATGCCAAAAGATAAGATAAATTTGGAATTTGGAAAGACATACTGTAGATATGTTGCCCACCATCCTCCTCTTGTTTCATACTTGCGTTCCATCACCCACGTTCAACCACCTAGTAATAGTAATTTTTTTCATGCTCAAAGTGATAACCGTAGCATTTTGTATCAAGGATTTTTTGGGAAGTGATTAGCTGAGGTGCTCTTACTGAAGAGAGTAGGCTGAAAAGTGGGTGACTCCAGTGAAAAAGGCAAAGATACGATTATGAAAACTTATTTCAACAGAAAAAATATGATTGTTTAATGGAACAAATGGGACTACTCTACACTCTCTCACTTGTCTGTATTTCAACAGGTGCAGATTAAAACTGTATTTCTCTGACTGTTAAGTGGTTGGATTGGGGCAGTGAGAATAATACAATGTTAGCAGACAAGAGGATAAATACAGTACAACCTTCATACGAAGTGATAACTCAAAGCTGAGAGAGAACCTTGCCAGACCGTGTATTCAGCGATTCACAGTCAAAAAGCAAAACATAAAGAGTAAACCCACTAAACATTTAAGCATAATGAGTGAACTTCACGAGAATAGAGTGAACTTCAGGTGAGGTGTTCAACCTGATGAACCTGATAACAAAATAATTCTCACTGTCATGCCGGACCATCAGACTAGATCTGATGCTGATGGTCTGGATTCAAGTCATAAAGGTCAAACATGTTAAAAATAATCTTAATAAGCTTTTGAACAACTCTTTCTTCTCAGGAGTGTCTAAACACCACCATGACGCTCTCTTCCCTCTTGGTAGTCATATTAATTATATTACTGTGTATGACTGAACCTTTGATGTGTGTATATTTCTAATCCAGAGTGGTGAGAAAATCATTATTTACAGAATGTATTTATTTAATCCAATTTATAGCTTGGGAGGTGGGCTGTGAAGAAACAGGAAATTGGGGGGGTGAAAAAGAGAAGGATTGTTATACAATCGGCAAAGAGTATCAAGAGTTACTCAACTGCATTACAACCCACTCTATCCCTGGTGATTCAGGAGCTATAAACAGAAGCCAGAAGAAAAGACTGACGACTGGTCTGTCCCATCTATTGTTCTTCATGGCAGACAGCAGGCTGGATGCAGAGAGAGGATTAACCAGAGCCCACTGTCTCAGCCTCTCTCTTATCAGAGAGCGGCAGGTTGGGAGTCAGGAGCGAGAAAAAGACACATCACCTCCTCTCCTATGAGTCATGCACTGGTCCTCTGCTCACTATCCCTGATACGCACATACAGGCTCCACACACGCATCAATCATGCAGAAATAGAGCAGTTGTCTCTGCATATTAATGCCCGTCTACTGGCATGCAATGGATGGACAGATGCAGCTCGCCTATCAAATGGCAGACATAACCAGATTCATGGAGTAAGCTCACAGCAGCAGCCACCGTGCTTTTATTTTCATTGGCTAGGCACTTCCTGTGAGTCACCGGTTTTTCCAACTTTGGACAAATGAAGCTCAACAAAAGTTCAATCAGGAAGGCGAACTTCATGCTACTCTATTTATTCTCTCTCTCTATTAATCCAATCAGATTTTGAACCAGCGTCCATGGCCCCTTCCACTGACCTCATTTGATTTCCTGCTCCACATCTCATCCATCCAGATCTCCAGCCATTGCTATTCACCCCTTCACCACCAGTGTTAAGATGCCATCAGGGGATTTTCCTGTACAGCTCATGGGTTGACTTCCCCTTTAAATGATGACAGCATGATGGGACCTATTCGTAAAAGACTTCTCATATATTTCTTCAACTTTCTATTGTGTAAACTGAGTTGAACTGAATACTCTTTAAGCCTCTCTCTATTAGTCCATTTTCATTTTGTCAGTCAATTCACAAAAGGCATAATCCTGATGAGGGGTAATTAGGGGATTGGAAACCAATGGTATATTCAATAAAGCAAATCCAAAAGTTTAAACTAAACTTTTATTCTATCAAATGAACCAAATTAATGGAAGTATTATTTTGAAATGCTATATGTCAACAAAGACTGACACGCTGTAAAACTGGTGTGATCACATAATAAATCTAAAACAACTGTGTAGTAATCTTGTAGCTTTTATAGATACTTTTTTCCATTTGCTCAGATCCACTTTAAACCTGGGTTTAACTAGACTTTGGCTGTTAATGCATGTGGGCCCCTTAGAACAATGGTAAATATGGGTTTATCCTAGGTCACTGCATCAGTCTAAAAACAGTATTATAGTAACAGTCTACAGCAGCGCTCTCCCCACCAGCTCCACCAGAACATCTCATTAAAACCAGCAGCTTTTACTGCTGTGAATCTGCTAAGAGGGAAAAGCTGTCAGAGAGGGTGAGGTAATCCTGCTAAACATAGTTACATCGAGTCTGATCTGATGGAGTGACCTGGAGGTTCTGCAAAACAACCAGGCAGCAGGACAGGGGCCATACTCAAAACATCTCAAACAAAAAAAACCAAAACAAACAAATACATACAGAGAAAACGAAAAGTAAGTGGTGTTGAAAGACCGAAGAGAAATTCTTTAAAAGGAACAATTTGCAAGGTGCAGTATCTTATTGCTACTGCAGCCGAACAGTTAACATGTAATATGAAAAAAAAACAAAAAAAACAAAAAAAATAGCAAAAACAAAAAAAACAAAACAAAGCTATTTAGCTGTCAGACTTTTTAATTTCTATCACACACTCATACTGTACGTCCAACCCCTTAATGTCAACCATAAAAGTAAACAGGTTTCAAATCCAGACAGTTGTTCCTGATTGTGGACTGTAAAAGAAATACTCTCAAATACAACATATCTGATTAAAAGTCAAATGACTAATACTTTCATGCGGTCTTCTGTGGCTCATTTTACAGCAGCTACCAGATACTGGTTCAGTGACTATAAAATTTCTTTAAGGAATAGTTTGATATACCTATTAGTTTTCTTGCCAAGAATTAGATGAGAAGATCGATACCACTCTTGTGTCTGTACACGAAATACAAGAGCCAGCTAGCAGTTAGCTTAGCTTAGAATGAAGACTGAACCAAAAAATAAAAACAACAAATCCTGGTTTTACAGGAGTTACATCCTGGAACTAATGTTTCTACTCAAGACTAACCAGCTAATTATTACCTCTGTCCATAGTTTCAGAACCAGACTGAGTGAAGTTTCCCTATTTTAATACAACTCTTATACAAGTGGTTGTCATCTTAAAAAAGTTCAGAGGTTTCACTGACACCAAGTGACCTGAAGTGTGAGTGTGTCAGGCACTGCTGCAGTCGGCCCCTGTTATAAAGCTGTGGGCCTCTTAACTGGACAAGCTGCAGCTGTCATTATTCTGACAGGCCCGCAGGCCAGTGTGTGTGTTTGTGTATGTGTGTGTGTGTGTGTGTGTGTATTTGGTTGACAACTTAGGGTTGGAATTTGTATAATAATGACCAAAGGATGTCAAGGCGATTTAATTTTATATCTTTTAATGTTAGTAACACACACACACACACACTCACACACACACATTTGTCCCCTGATTTCTGAGCAAGTGTGTGTGCGTATGTGTGACTGTGTGTAATGGCCTGTGTTTGGAGGGATTTGAGGGCCTGGGAACTGTGTGGAAATCACATTGAGCTTCCTCTGGCTCATCTCAGAGTCATGGGAAACAACACTGACCAAAAACAACAGGCCTTGTACACGAAGCAGCTTGACCACTCAACATTTTACTGTTTAGACAAATACACCACCTTAAGCCAGACATGAAAGGAGACAGCAGTGTGTCCTACACTGATCTGTGGCTGCTAGGAAATATGAACAAAAATCACACTGTCAATGATTATGAGTGTTTTCATTTCAACACTAACAAGTTATGATGACATATTCAACAAAACATCATGAGATTAATTTTTGTCCCCACAGAGTCAAATGATTTTCCAGTGTCACATATTTCAACATGACTAGAGCAAAACCAGGACATGGCTGGACCATGTGTGGTCAATGTGCAGAACTGAGGACATAGTTGAAAACTGCTGTGGAACCGCTGTAAACAATTCTAAATCTAAAGACAATCTAAAGCTGCTGGAAAAGTCGCTAAATGACGTACTACGTTAATTAGCAAAATCATTATGTCGTATTTGCATTCTGCCTAGTGTCAGCTGGTTTCTGCCACTCACTGAACAGAGTACACACTGAGAGGTGTGTCTCTCGCTCGCAGGGCAGTACTGGTGACTCTTTTCTGTGTAAGGTAGCTAAGGTTTGTCCAAATATGCAATATTTAAATACCGAAAGAAGATAGAACCAACACAACAAGTGGCCAGTGTGTTCCTCCCAATTATCCCTTTGGCCTCTGTATCCACAGAAAAAAATAAATAAGGCCATCAGTCTATCCAGCATTACATCCTGAAGACTACATATCAGAATACATTGCAAGTTTAGAGAGAACAGATGAAATCTTTTTTGTGCAAACCTTTAGCGTATTCGTCTTGGTTCACAGGGTTATTTCTTCCTTTGCCACTGCACACCCCGTCAGATCTATAAAAACAAAAGGGAATTGATTCAATTTGTTAAACAAGAGTCTACAACCAAGCTAATATGTATCTCTGAGAGGCCTTACTTAGGCACAGCAGTGCTTTCAGCTAATGAGGATAACGATACACAGTCATAGTGTTGCACTCAGCTGTACTTGGAAGACAGGGAAATATAAAGCCACCTTACTTTTTCAATCCGATCACTACATTCAAGCCAATCAATACATTAAGTGGGTGTGAATGTCAGATTGTCGGGTTTGGAAAGTTACAGAAACTGTTGGACACAGTCCCCTCGTCAAAGTATTGGACAATTTTCAAATCAAATTTTGAAATGATTGGTGCTAGATGAACTTTCAGGTGTGTAAGGCTGTATATTCATTTCTCAACTGTTTGTAGAGCCATACAGTGCATTCATACAGCGCTGCTAGTGTAGCTAAAAATCAGTTATCACATGAATTTGAAAGTTTTCCCAGTCTGCCGGGAAACATAGTTACTGCACTTATCCAAAAGAAATAGACTAATTATACAGGAATTGCTGAAATTAACCCGGTAATTGAGTCCTCTATATTTAGATCATAGTAGGGGAGAGAGTTGGAAAAATCCCAAAGTTCAAATCTCTTAGGCCAAAACAGTACAGCTGGGCAGAGCAGCTGAGTGCCATTCACGCCAAAAACACACCTGTGCTTTTTCAAAAAGGCAACATGCACTGTTAAACATCTATATAGTATATATTATGTGATATATACTGTATATTTACAGATGCAGACTAGATAACACAACTGACATTTATTTCACTACAACTACTCTTTTTGTTAATAGAAGGCAGTAAATTAGAGAGAATGTCAATTCTATGTTAGTGAGTACATTGAAGGTTCATGATAAATAGTGCAGTTGACTGATAAAGAATTAAAAAGATTCAGAAAGCTGGAATGGCAAACTTGTCCAGTCATGGCACAAAAGACAAAAATAAAAGCCTGTTTTTCTAAAGACGCCAAGAATCATAAGAAAAATGTCTCATGCTATGGCTATAATGTGCAATGAGCAGTGAATTGAGGCTGACAAAATGACAATGGTTCATGTATACACGACTGGAGGTTTTCAGTTCATTATTGTGTTTTTTATCACAGAGTTGAGTCATTTCATGAGAATTATCCTTCAATTCCTAGTATTCTTTTTAAATACAAAGCTACACGACCTGCTCTTTGCAAGCGTCAAGTGCTTTGTCAGCTATGACAATACGAGCCAGTGCCATTAAAGCTTTTTCCTGTCGGGTGCCTGGAGGAGGGGAAAGTATGAGGAAAGCTACCTTCCGTGTTGCAGCGGATGAGGAACAGAACAGCTCCTCAGGTTCATGCCTCTCACTTCCCCAAGCTCTCTCAAATAACACAGCTCCTCTTGCAGAGCACAGCTTGATAACCGCAAACTCTGCAGGCAAACTGACAACTCTGTACGTGTGTGTGAGGGTGTTTCTGAGTATGTAAGTGTAACAGCACCATTATACAAACGTTTTGCTTACTTGTAATAGGGTAGAAAAAAAGATTTGCAGACAGATTTTCTCTCAGATACACCACACATTTTGTTTTCAGTCAGCATAATTAGAGAACCAATCAATGTAATTTTTCAAACAAATGGTAGTAAAATGTAAAAATACACCAACTGGCCAGATGTAACCACATTAAAATACACTCCTAAAAAGCATGTTGGTGTATGTCTGTACTTATAGTCCAGAAATAAGTAGCTGCAGCCTTAAATAACCTTATATATAGAGGAATGACCCGAGTTAGTTCCATGCAATGGGGTATACAGTAGGGGTTCACAGCAATTTTAAGTTGATAAGATAATTGTTTGGTGTTTCTATTCCTAGATTTAGACTGAAGTTGTTGTTTAAACCGCTGCACCTGATCTTCCCAATGGAAAACAGAACACCTATTAATATTACTCATTACTGAATTTTATACTGTACTGAAACAGCTCTGTTGACTCTGGGAAAAATACGATCCTAGTTTTACTAGATCTTAGTGCTGCCTTCGATACAGTCGACCATGACATCCTTTTGCCTTGTCTTGAACAGTGGCTCGGTATTGAGGGTACTGCACTAAAGTGGTTTGGATCCTATCTTAAAAACAGGACATTCTGAGTGGCTATAGGTCATTCCTATTCAGCCTGTATATGCTCCCTCATGGAAACACACACATACACAGCTAAATCCAGCAACTAAAATCTACTAAAATCTACGGATTCCCTTTAACCTCTGCTGGGCTGTTTCGAGGACATTAAACGGCTGGATGGCAAACAATTTCCTTCAGTTGAACAGCAACAAAACTAAAGTACTCATATATGATCCCTCTAAATCCAGTAGTCTCCTTGCAAGTAAACTAGACCACCTCAACCCATGTGTGAAGTATCATGCAAAAAACCTGGGTGTTATCTTTGATTCCAAGCTCTGCCTTGATAAACACATCTCCACTGTTGTTAAAATTAGTTACTATCAGTTCAGAACCATTTCCAAACTGAAACCAAGTCTGCCCTTCCATGATATGGAGAAAGTAATTCACGCCTTCATCACAACTCGACTGGACTATTGTTATTCTTTGTATTCCCCAATATTCATTATCTCGCTTACAGTTGGCCCAGAATGCAGCCATAAGGATGTTGACTGGTAATAAAAGGCTTGAGCACATCACCCCAGTCTTAACCTCTTTTCACTGGCTCCCTGTTCAGTTTAGAATTCAGTTTAAGGCCTTGCTGATTACTTTTAAGGCTCTTAGTGGCCAGGCCCCAACTTACATCACAGATCTCATCCATTGGCACTCAGCTCCGAGATCTCTTAGATCTAAAAGTACATCCCACGATCACTGAAAGTAAAAGGTGACAGAGCCTTTGCAGCTGCTGCTCCAAAATTATTGAACCAGTTGCCATTAGAATTGAGATGTGCTCCCTCCATCTCTATTTTTAAATCAAGGCTAGGGACACATTTTTATTCAATGGCTTTTTTTGTTAGTATGTTTATATGTTTATATATACTGTATATTTACTATGCTTTCCTTGTGTTTTTCTTATTCTAGACATTTGTTTTACTTGCTTTTATTTATTTTAATTGTCCTTTGTTGGTCAGCTCAAGTCGTGTTTAAATGTGTTCTGTAAATAAAGTTGAATATTACTGCTACTTCTATAAAAGTGAAGATTATTAAAGTGAGCTTGATAAAGATGAACTCCATGTGTGAGATGTCTGAAAATGATTGGTTGCACCAGAATTGATTTATGGTCATCATAGAAGGGGGATGACTACTTATCCAGTCAATTACCATATGTTTCATATTTCTAGCAAAGTGTTCTGTACTTTGACCAAGCGTGGGTGCACACTTTTTGTAAGCACTGTATTGTGTATGAAGGGAAAACCAGACTTTCTGGTATGTCATACAGGCAAATTATCTGATGGCTTCATTGATTGATTGATTTCATCAAGATATTTGTTTGTGTTTGGTTGTGAGTGGGATTGTACCATGTGAAAAAGTGACATCAGTGCCCCTATTCAAAGGGGTGAAATATTAATTTGAAATGCGTAGTTTTAAATATTTTTGAATGATTAGAATGATTTAGCAACATTGCTCCATCCGTTGGGAAGAGCAATGTGAAAGGGCCAATGTAAAACCTCCAACTATAACTCCAAAGATGAGGTGTTGCAGCTGCAACCTTCCCAGAATAGTTACTCAGTGGGAAGGTTTTACACTGCGAAAGATAAATACACACTAGGGCTGTACACGATCCAGAGTTCTGTCAGTCGAACTACAAAGATCCAACTATCTGTTCCTTTTTTTTCATCAGTTAGGAAATCCTTCTGCACCGCAGAGTGTCTCACCGGGCTAAGATGTCACATTGTTGTCAGCCGGACCGCGGAGCTGAGAGGATCAGAACGGTCAACGGAGACCAGTCGCTCTGCCCTCACCTCTCTCTACTTCCATCAGTTTTGTGGTTTGGTCAGTTAGTTTTGTGGTTTTTGCCCACCCCAAGAAACCAAAGGAAAAAAAAAAGAATTAAATAAACAAAAGAATTAAAAAAAAAAATAATAATAATAATTTCTGTTATTTATCTGATTTATGTGCACATGTTTCATTTCAGCTCAATGTGAGAGTCTCTACTGCATTCTGTTGTCATTTACTGTCGCGTTTCTCTCCTCTCCTGGTCGACAACTCGTTATGTTTCATAAAATAAAAGCTTTCCAACAGATGTTTACCTCAAACATCTTAAAGTCAGGCCAAAATATCAGCATTTTTTTTAACACTTTTCCTTTAAATACACACAACCTGTCCAAGCCAGAGCACTAGCAGCTCTCCTAACAAGACACACACTGATAAGACTTGGTTGTAAAGTTTACAGCCTGCCATTCTGTTACTCCTGCACTGCTCTGTGTACTGTGAGGCAGCTAAAGAAAGAATTATTGTATTGTATTGTATTCTCCAAGGATGCATCAACTCATCAACTTTTAGGGGGCAACCCTAAGATACACACGTTTTCATCACGAGATAACAACGCTTTTATGTCAGGGAACTTCTCCATAAATGTCTTACCACTGGCTGATATGGCAGCAAACATTTCTTTTGTCTCTTCAGTGACAAAACTAATATTTTTCTATAATAAATTTAACCTTACTTTCAGCACCTTGTAACCGAACACTAAGGAGGGAGAGAAGAATGAGAAGGATTGCTGCCTGAGAACAAGCTAATCCATCAAAATACAGTCCAACAACAATTCCCTCAATCAACTGATTCTGGTTTTGTGAGAACTAGTTTAGCTTGAGTCAATTCTAATAGTCCCACATGTGAAAGCAGAACCACTGGTGTTTATGCACATTTATGCTCTCACTCTCACAGACACACACAAACATGTGCAGACACCACAGATTGTCCAGGGCTCGAGCATATTTCACACACCATTTGTGAAGCTACACAAACACAAATGACACACAAGTTGGCCTGACTGACGACCGTATATGGAATGCAGCTTCTGGCTCAATAATGAAATTACTTCATAACTTTGATGTTACACTACAGGAAAAAAAAAAAGGCAAGAGCTACAACAAAACTAAAAATAGAACAACTTGTGTATAAATCTATGAAGGAGACCATACTTGTTTTCAAGAGTGTTCAATGCCATTACATTACCTCAGTGCCACTTAAACAGGCTACGCTGCAACTAAATAGTTTTAATGAGAGGTTATTGTTCTAATCAGGCTAAAATCACAGAGAGAGCTGGAAGTCATGACGCAGTCCATAATGGTAGTGAATACATGTAATAAAAACATGTGAGCGTATCCTGTCTGCAAGCACATTAAAAATGATTTTTTATTCTTACATTTTGTTCTTGAAAAGATGATGTCGTTTTTCACAAAATCTCAGTGGTCAGCTCCCCTGTGGACACACATGGAGAGAAATAAAGGAAATAAATGTACTAAGATACAGAAAAGCAGAGAGTTTGGAAATCTATGTTTGTCTTTGAACAAAGTGTGACAACAGGGAGACCTCAGCTTTTTCACCAGTGCCATGGCAACGTGCTCCATGCACATGGTAGGTAAGACAATGCAGCTAGAAAAAGGTGTAAAAACTAGAACAATATTCAACTCCAAGAGAGCGATCAAGGATCAGAAACCCCCATAGTGTGTGTGTGGGTGTGTGTGTGTGCGTGTGTGTGTGTGCATTCATGCAAAACAAACACCAGCAGCTACAGTGTCAAATGAGCAGGAAGACTGTGTAATTCCAGGGATTAACATTTTATTAGCTGCAAGCTCTCGTGTTCTATTTCTGTTACATTCATGAGGATGAAACATCCTCATCAATGACCAAACACCACTGACACTGATAGCTCAACAAGGAGATGATGTAATCCAAGGTCTTAAACCTGATTTAGCAATGACCTGCTACCACAACATTTTACTCAAGTCCGCTCTCAGTATTTCCTCTTGACACTGAAATCTTCACTGTGTTCTTTTTATTGTGTGGAAAACAACTTGTGTCATGGCACCATCACAGACTCTGATCATGGCAGCTCACGTTGTGGTACCCAGCTGTATGAAAATGAGGAATACGAGTGGTGCACTTTATGAAAATTGATTGAAAAATGTTCATCACAAAAGCAAATCACCGCTGCCCAACAATGCAGCTGCCAGCAGCTCTCACTCTACATACAAAGAGGACTGGAGTCCACACTGGCCACTGCTTTGGAAAGATATTTCACACTATTGTGTGAGAGAGTCTGACACACATATTCACCTATTCCATCTCTAAAACTCATAATGAGGTGAGATGTGAGCAGAACAGAGTTAAACTTTTTTCCTTTTCAAAATACCTCTTTTTAATACACTATTCTCTCTCTCCTTCATCTATTACTGAGGTCTTTGTTTACCTATTTGGTAATAGGTGTCACACAATAACTGGCTCTGCATCCAGAGATGTGTGGGGTACATTACATTAATCTGCAACTAAAAAGATATGGTATGAGTCAGCTTGTCACATAGGAAATGCCAAAATGAAAGATTTTCTCGGTGCCAATACACAAAATGTCAGGGATGGATGTATACTGAGATGGCATCAGGTATTAAAAACAACATAATGCACAGGGAGAAAAACAGAGAAAGACGTAACAATGTATTGCTAATCTCCTAGGACACCAGCCCAGGCAGAGTGGGTGTCTGGACGAGACACGCTTGCTCACTCATTTGCTCATCTGCTCAATAAAACTGGGCTGCGGCTGCAACGAGTCGTCGTCCTACCATATTCGCCGTGGTGTACTCCCACATGTAACCCCTCCTCTTATTCTCTCTCTCTCTCTCTCTCTCGCACTCCCCTACTTGCGGCAGACCAGCTGTCACGGTTTCCAGCCCACTCATTACCATTCCTCTCTCATATAACTGTCGCTCCAAGAAGCTTTCATCCTTCCTCTCCTCCACTGCACACTGGGTGGCAAACTGGAACATTACATAAAGATAATGTGGACCCAACTCGTGCGTGTGTGTGTGTGGACGTGTGCATTTACTTGTGTATATTCACCTGCATTACTTAAAAAGCCTCAACATAAAACAAACAGTATTAACAGAATGATTAAAAACAGAAAGGTGGAGGGAAAAAGGTTCTCATCTGAATTTACGAGTAATTCCAGTACATTGTGTCTTGGCAGAATTTAATTGGTTCTATTTTATAGCAGAGAGCTTGTAGAAGATTTCCTCCTCTGTGATATAAACTGCTTCCAAATACAAAACGAGTCTCTTAAATGGTTTAAATAAAAAAAATTCATGTACACTGCTCAAAAAAATGAAGGGAACACTTAATCATCACAGTACAACACCAAGTCACTTGAACTTAAACAGGGATATCAATCTGTGTGCATGTTACTGACCAAACTGTCAGAAACAGACTCCATGATGGTGGCATCAGGGCCCCACATCCTCCTGTGCTCACAGCCCAGCAACGTGCAGCTCGATTGGCATTCGCCAGAGAACATCAGAATTGGCAGGTCGGCCATTGGCGTCCTGTTCTCTTCACAGATGAGATCAGATTCACACTGAGATCATGTGACAGACGTGAAAGAGTCTGGAGACGCCGTGGTGAACGTTATGCTGCCTGTAACATCATCCAGCATGACCGGTTTAGCGGTGGGTCAGTGATGGTCTGGGGAGGCAGATCCTTGGAGGGTCGCACAGACCTCCATGTCATAGTCAACGGTACCCTGACTGCTGTTAGGCACCGGGATGAAATCCTCAGAGCGATGGTCAGACCTGACGCTGGTGCAGCCCTGGGTTCCTCCTGGTGCAGGACAATGCCCGGCCTCATGTGGCCAGAGTGTGTAGGCAGTTCCTGGATGATGAAGGCGTTGATGCCATTGACTGGCCCTCACGTTCCCTTGACCTAAATCCAATTGAGCACCTATGGGACGTTATGTATCGGTGCATCCGACGCCGCCAAGTACCGCCACAGACTGAGCTCACTGATGCCCTGATCCAGGTCTGGGAGGAGATCCCCCAGGACACCATCCGCCACTCATCAAGAGCATGCCAATACATTGTTGGGAGTGCATACAGGGATGCAGGGGCCATACACACTACTGAGACATATTATGAGTTGCCGTGATGAAATTCATGTTGGATCAGCCTGTGATTTCAGTTTTTTACTTTGATTTTCAGTGCGATTGTGAGTCCAGCTCTCAGTGGGTTGATGATTTTGGTTTCCATTGACTGTTGTTTATACACTGTACATAAGTAAAGATTTTCAACTTGAATAATTCGTTCATCAAGATCCGATGTGTGATTTAAGTGTACCCTTCATTTTTTTGAGCAGTGTATATGAGTGGTTTCATGATCCACAAGATTTATGATCATCTGTGAATGAATTTTATGATGCTCATAAAAGCATTTCGGGACTCCAGACTGCGACTGTTTAGTTGCATTGTGACCAAATTTGACCTTTCTCATTCTGCCCTTTGGTGACAATGAAATATGCTAAACTATACTAAGCTATCAATTCATTTTTCCTAAATAAGAGATCATTCAGACCCCCCTGTGCCAGTCCAGAGTTTCTGATGAGGACAATTCAGATGAGGAATCAGCATGTGATCTGGTTTTGAAAAGCAAAGACCTTCTCTTTCCTCAGCTCACACAGTTTTCGTGGCTGAGATATCGCAAGGAAAGGAATGTTATTTATTGTATGTACTGCCCTCGGTGTGGCCCAACATTTGTCGGGAAAAGTTTGCAGACTCAACCACAAACTTTAAACATGAAACAGTTTTAAAGTACACCAACAGCATGACGCATAACTATGAAGGGACAGATGGATTGATGGAATAGCAGCTCCTCTACTAGCAGGCAGGAAAAATGGATCTGCAGAGGAGGCTGAAATGACAATGAAATTTAATACAGCTGATGGCATTGCGAAGGAAGAGTCACAATGAATTATTAAAAAAGAACAAGTTTAACATGTTTACATTTGTAAATGTATTATTTAGTGTCTATGTTTAAAAAAGCACTAGCTTTGAGATTTTCTTTTTTTTTTTTTTACATGACACAGCACATTGTTATTTCTGTAAATTGTTTATTAATTACCAAAGCATTTACCAGTAATGTAGTTAAGATGGAAAAAATATTGTGTTGCATTATATGTTGATTTAAGCAGTGCTCCTAAACTTTGTGCAGGGGTTAGGGGTTTACCAATAATACCACTAATTTCATCACGAATTGTCCTTCACATGAGTAATTGATTTTATTCGTGGATCATAAAATGAACATTTGCCACTCCTGTTGAGGGTAATTTCTCTCGATATTATTTGTGCTCTATGCTGATCTCTGTCTTTTTTTTATGCCAACGTTTTCACATACAATGAATTGCTTATGCTAGATATGCCAAATCTCGCTTAACTAAATGTTTACTGACGACTATACCACCGACTACTAACAGAGTTGAAATATTCAGCTTTCTAGATGCCTAAAAATCCCTGTGAAGTTGGTTGTGTACCTAGGTTTTCACACTTGTCTGACATTGACAGGCGTTCCAGCCACCATAGCATTCACACATAGGGGGAAAGCCCTGTGCTAATTCCAGGCATCCCCATGGACTCTTGGCCAGTCAGGGTGTGAAGCCGAACCTGTCAGTGGAGCTCAACAACTCCTCTCAGCTCTCCCGACACAACCCTGCAGCGAGTGATGCCACCACTTCTGACAATCTGTCTGGCCTTGGTGGAGGGGTGTCACTGTGTAGCTGGTGAAGTAATGGAGTGTGTGGTTTAAGGGCGTCATAGTGCATACATTTTTTTTTAGCACTTCAGATTAAACATGCATACTTGTCAGTATCTGTCTGACTATCTGCCTGTCTGTGGTACTGTTTGTTTGATTTCACCTGTGTGTTTCTATGTAATAATGTTGACATATCTTGTGCCTGTTTCTGCGTCACTGCATTCATCTATTTCAGTATACATATGGCAGCTGAGACCTCAGAGTCAAGTTTAGCAGCTGTTGTACAAGATTACATACATTTGATGTAAGCAACAACAAGTAAAAACAACCACTGTGGCCGTTTACGCCTGTGTGACTTCTACGATCTTTAGATCCACGTACCAGAGCTGCCTTTACAAAGACAAATACAAAATATAAGACTTCATTTTCTTGTTCCATGACTTCATTAAACCTGAAATTGCTGATTTTTTTTGCCTTGTTTGTGGTAGCACTAATACATTTTTGTATTAAAACATATCGCTTTTGCTGGATTTACTCCTGGCGTCCACACTATGGAATTTTTGAATCCCTAAAAATTATTTAGGGCGTGTTTTAGCTTGAAAGCTGTGGGGTTGCGTTGTAGTCTGGACGAGCAGAAACGGACACCTTTGGAAATGATGTCACAGACACCCACGTTCACCTCCTGGTTGGGCC